TCGCCGTCCCCCAGCCCAGCCGGCTCGCAGACCCGACGGGCGGGCGGTGCGCGGAGGCCCCGCCGTCGGGGCCGCTGACTTCACCTCGCGCAGTTGGAGTTGGGGCGTCTGTTCCCCCTCGCAGCCCGGGGCGGGGGTCCGTTCCTCGCGTCCCCTGGAGGCTACAGAATGGCCTTCTTACAGAAAACAGGGCCCCTGGTGACACCCCGGAATCCTGCCGCCCCTTAGGAAGGGCCTGGTCGGTCAGCGGCCCCTTCCTGAGAGTGGGGTGGAATTCCTTCCAAATGCGGGCTCCTCGGGCCCGTCGGTGGGTGCGGGGGGGGGGAGGCGCCCCGGGAGACGCCCCGGCGGGACTGGGGGGGGCGATCCCGGGGACGTCCCGGTGGGGCTGGGGGGTGGCGGTCCCGGGAGACGCCCCGGCGGGGCTGGGGGGGGGTGGCGGTCCCGGGAGATGCCCGGGCGGGTATTGGGTGTCGTTGGAGGCGGGGCAGGGCTGGGCGCAGCCCCGATGCCCCAGGAGGCGGCCCTGGCCCGACAATGGGCCGCTCTGATTCCCTGGCCGGCGCTTTGTTGGCGGGCGGGGCAGCGGGCTCCGCAGCTGTCGCATTTTCCCACGAGTGTGGTGGCCACCCGCCCTGGCTGTCCCCTTGCATCTCATGTTTGAATTTCAAGACAAGGGCGGTGGCCGGTTGGGAGCCCCAGCCCTGCCCAGTTTCCTAATGAGCACCCGGCCTTGGTGAGGAGCAGCCCAATCACCCCGGATCTCCCCTTGCTGTCCACCCCTTTCTTGCTGTGAGCTGTGCTGCCTCAACAGGCAACAGGTTCTGACTGTGTCTCTGGGGACAGAATGTTGTCTCCCCGGGGGTTACAAAAGTTCTCCCTCCCCAGCACCCAGACTGCAAGGATTTGGGGCTGGTGACACATCATATCTAGAGTGTAACAAGCAGTAGGGTTGTCACAGGGCCAGAGCCTGGGCTGACCCCTCTCTCCTGTCCTCCCTAGGTCTGAGATGCTCCCAGCCCGGTGGGACCTGCCTGAATGGAGGGAAGTGTGAAGTGGTCAATGGCACAGAGGCCTGTGTGTGAGTACTGCCCCTTTGGGGACCTGTTGCTTTTGTGGGAGCAGAGCCCCTACCTTCTGGGGACAGAACACTGGGTTATTGTGTTCTGGAGACAGCCGAAAGGCTGGGCAGTCACGTGCTGACTTTTATTGGACAAAGTCTGGCAATTACTTAATCACTAGCAATGATGCTGTGTGCCGCATGCGGAGCAGCCCTGGGCGCCTCCGTGGCCTCCGTCCCACACTCCCTGGTGGGACCTTCAGGCTCATGAGGCCTGGGGGGAGGTCATTTGCAGTCCCCACTTCTTCTTAAAGTCCCTAGAAACCCTTGGTGGTTGTAGGGGCTCTGGAGTACTTAACCTGTGTCTGTCACCTGGAAGCCCTCCACTGGGCAGGTGACTTGGCAGGAGACTTTCAAAACAAAACCCACCCCCTGCACACTTCTGGGACTCTGGGCGAGGTCTGGAGAAGTTAGAACTGTCCTCCTTGGCCCCGCCTGCCTGGGTGGTAGGTGGTAGGGTGAGTGCCAGGAGTCTGGTTTCTGTCCTGGCAGCTGCAGCCCCACCTCCTGACTCTTCAGGCCTTTGGCTTCCTGCCTCAGGTCCTCAGCTGTAAAATGGGTGTGATTGGAGGCGGGCGGTTGCCTGCCATAGGTTGGGAAATCCTTTTGGAGCCCTGTAAGTACCAGCTAACCTCGGGAAGTTTCTCTGCTGTAGCCAATGGCCTTCAACTTGAGTTTGTCCCTGGTGAGGATGAGGAGGAGCTGGAGACGCAGGCTGGCCCCCAGCTCTGGAGCGGCAGACAGAGCCGGCTCCAGCCCACTCAGCACGCCCTCATTCCAACTGCTGAAGGGCCCATCCCCTTGACAACCCCAGCTCCACTGCCTCCTGTGCCCTGCTTGTGGGTAGGCTGCCCCTCTTCCCCCTCCCCTCCCCACACTGAGGCCAATTAAGCAGGTCTGTGAGCAGTTTATTGGACAAAGCCGATTGTGTCTTTGTCAGACGCTAATGAATGCATACTGTTTTTTTTTTTTCTTGGCGTTTTTGGGGCCCCTCTCTCCCCCTGCCGAGGCCTCACGGACGCTTGATACCCTAAATCTTGTTTCCTTCCATTCAGAGGCCGACAGCTGGGAAGTGCAGTGGGCTATTGTTGGGAGGCGATTAATGCGGTGTGATTAATTATGCGTGGCTTCCCAGAATGTGCAGCCAGCCCCCTTCCCCGCCACAGAGCAGGGCAGGGCAGACCACGCTCTGGCTCTGCCTGCTTCTCACCAGTACAGGGCAGGGCTGAGAACCTCTGCCCAAGACTTGGGAGTGGGTGGGCAGGAAGGCTGCTGGGCTGGGGAAGGTGTGTGTGGGGGGAGGGAGGGTCTCAGTCCCATTAGGGGATGGCTGCAGCCTGGCATGCAGTAGCCTGCCTCCAGCATCCAGGCTAAGATGCTTCAAGCTAATAGACTCATGGTAGTGGGCCCCCGTCTCCTGCATCTCAAACTTGCCAGCCCTGTAAGCTTTTGGTGCTTGTTCATGTCTGGTCCACTGGAGCTAACACTCCTTCCTTAGCAGGAAGCTGCCTCAGTTTGGCCTGGAGCTTGGCAGAGCTCTGCCCACTGAAGCCTCATTGTGCACACCCTGCAAATCCAATTAGAAAGTGGGGTAGATGCGAGGACCTCTGGCCAACAGAGCTGGAGACCAAAGTTATGGCCAGGCCTAGTTGTAGATAGACACGGGCCGGGGCTCAGCGGGCGGCTGGGGACACTCTTGTACAGGTCTGGATTCCCCCAGAGTACACACAGTGACCTGTTTCTCTTTTCTGGGGCACATGCTAGAGCCCCTCAAACCCCTCTCTGGCACCCGGCCATGACCTTGTGCGGTGCCGGCTGCCCTATAGAAGGACCTAGGAAACACATGGTCATGTGCTGGCACCCTGCCGGTGAGTCACGCCATCCACCCAGGGAGAGGAGCCTTTCCTCCTGCTGCCTGTGGGGTGCCGGGCTCGGGAATGGGAAAGCCTGGATTCCTTTGCTGTCAGGAAGCTTTCTAGGAGGTACCAGTGCCACTGAGGCCTCTTAGGCTGTGGCGGGTGAGGAAGCTTGGCTTTGAACCCTGTGTGTGGGCGGGGCACAGCTCTGGGCAGCTGTTGGTGGGGAGAGTTGGTGAGAACCCTTGTCCATTTGAGTGAACTCCTACTCGTCCAGTGAGGGCAGAGAGGCCAGGAGCACTGGGTCACTGCGTGCCCCTGCAGTGAGGCTGGCAGTTGATGGAGGTCTTCCAGGAGCTCCCTGGCAGCACCTGGAGAAGCTGGGAGGGAAATCTGGGGGCTGTGCGTGCTAGCAGTTGTGGCCTGGTCTGCTGTTCACTAGTCCCATAGTGTTGGTGGGTCATTGATTGCCCTCATCTCCATTTCCCCATCTGTACAGCAGGGCTGCTCTGTGATTGGCATCTTGGTGGCATGTGCCAGTGAGCTGAAGGGCTCCGTCGGGGACCTCGTTGGCAGATGTATAGTTGACTTAATTCCTTAATCCAGAGAATCCCAAAGGTGCTGCCTGGTGGGTCCTGTCTAGAGCCACGAGCGTCTGGAGTGTCTTAAGGATTCTGGGCTGGAGATGCTGCACTGGGCAACCCTTCACGCTTCCTTGGAGGGACTCTTGCATGCCTGCTGTGCTGGGTTTCACCCCCCTGTGACCCCCGCCCAGATAGGGCAGGTTGGGGTAGAGGGAGGTGGTTGCAACTGCTGTGTCTGACCGGTGGGGGCGATGGGGGTCTCACGAGGCTCCCAGCAGCAGCCTGGGGAGCTCTGTGGACCAGGCATGAGAAGAAGTAGGAGAAGAGAGGCCCAGAGAAGTGGCCCTGTGGTGTCCCTCTGAGGAAGCGGGGCTGGGGCGTGACCTCGGCGAGAAGTGGCTGAGGCCTGGCAGGGAAGGAGCAGAGAGCCACGTGCAGCTTCTGTCCCCTGGTCTTGCTGCTGTTCCACTGAGTCACTTGTCTCTCCTGCTGTCCCTCGGGGAAGGCAGACCCTGTCCCGAGGCCTCCTGTCTGCGAAGCACTTGGCCCTCAAGGACCAGACAAGGAGGCGACACCACAGATTCACCTGCCACCAGACCTGTGGGAGTGGGCCCAGCACTGGAAGGCCTGGGCGGTGGGGGAGGGCGCCTGGCTGGAGCGTGTGTGTGTGTGTGTGTGTGTGTGTGTGTGTGTGTGTGTGTGTGTAGGAAGCCGCATCTGTGGGCAGCCCTGCCTCTGGAGGGTACCAACAGTTTCCATTGAACGAAGAATAACGAAGAGCGAGAGCCGTAGGAGCCTAGCTGTGTGTTCTGCAGGAGGAGGGCAGGGCAGGCAGGGGAAGCCCTGTGTCTGGGTGCTGAACAGGGAGGTGCTAGCAGCTGGGGCACAGAGCTCAGTGCTGAGACCTCCCAGGCTTGGGGGGCTCCGGAGGGGTCTCTGAGGGGTGTCATGGCCTGGGCTGGGTATAGGCTGGGACTGGCACCATGGTGCCACCTGAGAGGTTATAATAGGCAGTGCCAGGTTGGGCCGAGGGGCCCCGCCCCCTGTAGCGTGGAGGGAACCTGTCCCACCTTGTGCCTGGTCTTTATACCCTGAGAGGCAGCACCAACGGCTGATTGTGAAGGTGTGCTATCGCAGCTCCATACACACAGAGCCGCCTTCTCGGGCCTTGTCAACCCAGCAGGGCTGGCTGGCTAGCCTGCTGATTTTATCCCCAGTTCACAGGTGGGAAAAACTGAGGCTGAGCAGTCAGAGCTGGGCTCGGGACAGGGACCCGAGGCCCGCTTGCGTCAGCTTTGGCCTTCGTGTACAGACACATCCAGCACTTTACTGCTCCCCCCGCCGAGGCTGGGGGAAGCAGCGCCCTCATTAACGAGCGGCTGGCTTCGGGGCATTGTGACTGGGCCGGGATGTGTCTGAGCCCCTTGTTTCCCAGGCTGGACACACCCTGGCACTCGCAGCCTGGAAGGCACAGGCCAACTGGCTCTGGTTAGCTGTGTGTTCAAATCCCCTTGTCCCCCATCATGTCTCCTCCCTGGCCCCAGTTTCATCCTCCACACGAGGAGCTTGGGTTAGGTGGCTCCAGGCCCCTGAGAGCTGTGGAAGAGAACAGGTCAGGCAGTGGTATGATGCTGGCAGCAGGCAGCAGTGCTCAGGAATTGGGCCTCCAGGAGTGTGTGTGTGTGTGTGTGTGTGTCCGTGTCCGTGTCCGTGTCCGTGACTGGCAGGGTGTAAGGCAGCAGGATCTCCTCACCCCACTCTGTCCTGCTTGTTGAGAGTCCAGGGTGCTGAGAACTGATTTGGCTGGCAAATTATTTTAACCGTTGAGACTGTGGTAGTGTTTAGTAATACAGGATTGTGTAACTGCCAGTACCATGCAGCTCCAGAACTTGCTTTTGTTTGTTTGGTTGTTGTTTTTGGTTGTTGTTTTGGTTGTACTGGGATTGAATTCAGCCCTTTTTACTATAGGTGTTCTTTCAGGGTCTTGCGTTTTTGACCTGGATAGCTTTGATCACAGATCATCCTACCTACAACCTCCTTAAGTAGCTTGGATTACGAGCACTACTTCATCTGACTTTTTGATTGGAGATGGCATCTCACTAACTTTCTGCCCTTCTAATCTCTACCTCGCTCATAGGTGCATATTACAGGTTTGAGCTATAATGCTTAGCCTGTGTTCTCACAGTTGTTTTTTTAATTGCTACTATAAAGGTGATGTACAGAGGGGTTACAGTTACATAGTTACACAGTCAGGTAATAAGTACCTTTCTTTCTGGACAATCATGAGACTTATCTCTAGTTAACTACCCCACCCCCACCAAAAAAAAATCCACAAGTGGAGCTTAGGCTCAGGTGGCAAGCACTAGCCTTGAGCAAAAAAGTCAGAGACCACTCCCCTGCCTCGTTCAAGCCCTAGGACCAGCACAGGAAAAAACAAAACCGTGAACAGCAAGGACAACCCAGCTGTGGAATGAACAGCTTTCCTCTGCACTGGAGTTCTTCCCCGAATCTCACCTGGGGT